AATTAAAAGTAAACAAAGTAAAGTTGGTGTTTAATATCCGTGCTCAACTTTTTTTTCCTCTCTCCATGAGTGGAACACAGCTGTAAGAGCCAGGTGGAGTAAAGCCAGCCTCCACCTGTTCTTTGTTCTCACCTGGTGAGAACTGCTGTTCCTTTTCAAAGGACTGCATTGTGGGGAAACAGCTGGCCTAATCTGGGCTCTTAGATTAGCTAAATGGACCTCTGGCTGCTTTCATTCCCACCGCAGAATCACACAACTGTACACACAACTGTACACACTGTGTGACCTCATGATGGAGCTGCACGTTCAGCGCACCTGATCCACTTTATACTGAAAGCAATCAGTGAAATAACCACACCAAGTATRAACACAAATTAAAAATATTTTTACCTTCATGTCCTTTCAGCTTGATGTTTAATTAATAAAATGTCTTTCTGTCAGGCTTTTTAAGAAAACTGCTTGTTTGGCACAAACTCTCAGACAGGACTAAACTGTAACTAAAGCTCTGAATATCTCTGACCTAAACTATGTTCTTCCTTCAGCTCAATGGTGTTACCAGAAGCAGAACTGTGACGATGAATGTAAAGGTAAGACCAAGAACATATAAAAGCTGTAACGTAACTTTTTCTCCCAGTTCTGTGCCTCTGATGATCCAAAGAAATGCAGGTTGTAGACCCCATAATTGGACAAATGTGACCCATGCAGGCAAAATGAGTCCGGTTTGCAGAACAAATAAGAATAAAAAYGGTACAGATTTCTGTCATTATTGGGACATGAAGACACCATCTGGCAGTCCCAGTAACCACCAGCTTAACCATTTTTCTCCTGGCTGCTGTAGCACCAAGAAATCCCTTCATATAATGTCTGACGTCATTGTGAAGGTCGATGACTTCACTCCTGGTCAATAAGCAGCACAGGTTACCAATAATTAAAATGAGTTGTTGTTTCTCCAGACCCGAGCCGCTGGCCTGTGCAGTTTCCCAGATGTGGAGGGTCTCACCAGTCTCCAGTTAACATCGTCAGCAGAAAAGTGCAGCTCAACAGCTCCCTGCCTCCCTTCTCTTTCATCGGACACGTCGACGCAATCAACGTTACAGTGAAAAATAACGGCCACTACGGTAATTAAAGGCCCCTCCTCTTCAGACCAGGTGTAGAACACGCCAGTCAGGCTGTTGGATAAAGTACCACAAAGTGATACTTGAGTAAATGTACAAGGATCTTACTAAAATATTACTTTAGTAAAAGTTAAAGTCTTCTTTAGGAAACTTACTTGAGTAAAAGTCTTAAAAG